TCTCCGAATACGCTGAGGTTTTTGACCGCCAAGTCCCGCTTGACTTTGCGTGCTTTCAGAAGTTCAAATTTATCTGACTTCCGGAAGAAACGGATGATGATGCCCCTGTGCAAGGCTTCGGGTGGGCCGGTACGGTGGGCAACCTCGACACTGTCATCGGACAGGTCGACACCAGGGCCGAGGGCAGCCTGCAGGCTCGCCAGGATCACGCTCATGTTCTCCCCCTTTCGGTAGGGGACGCCGTGCACGTCGACGTCATTTACACGCGAATATTGCTCGGCCGCGGTGAGGCGCTCCTCGAGTACGTTTACTTGTTGTTGAAGAACACCGTTCTCGGTCTGCAGCTCACCAACCTGACGTTCCAGGGCCGCCGCCTTGGCCAGTGCTTCGTCGGTCCGCTGGTGACAGAACTCGAGCGATTTGGCAAATTTATCCTCGACATCACGCAAGAGCTGTTTCTGCTCTTCGCTGCTCTCCCTGATGAGGCGCATGACGTCGGCGAGAGTTGGCTCCTGCTGGTCGCTACTCCCGCGCGGCCCGCCCGGGCCGGCCGGCCCGGCCGGCCCGGCGGCGCCCGCCGGGGACAGGGGGGCGGCGGAGCGGCAAACTGGGCCGCAGTACCACTCTTTTTCAGTATTCAGGTTCACACATCCACTATGAGCTTTCTTGGCCTTACACGCACACGATGTGGCTTGCGCGTTCTTCACGGCCCGCTCGCACTTGTGGCAGGAGGACGACGACATGTTTCGGCTCGATGTAAACACACAGTCACAAACACAGGGCGGGGGCTCAAATCGGCCAGGGGTCCAATCACGGCAGGGCACACAGCACGGGCATAACACGGCACAGCACAACACTTGAAATATTGTAGCTAGTTCATAACTAAATCACAGCGGCTTGGTTTTCACACATGTCACCGGCGCGCATCGTCTGCTAGGCGGCAGGCGGCAGGCGGAGCGGAGCGGAGCGAGCGTCCGCACGGCTCGGCTGACTGGACTGGAGGGAGAGGGGGAGAGAGAGAGAGAGAGAGAGAGAGAGAGAGAGAGAGAGAGAGAGAGAGAGAGAGAGAGAGAGAGAGAGAGAAAGTAAAAAGAGTGTGGAGATCCGAGCAAAATAGTAGCGCCCTCTCCCGCCGCCTTCCGCGCCCTCCTTCTTTTCGCAGCCTGCTTGTATAAGCCCCTATGCAGATTGACGGAATGAGTTTGCCTTTGCGGCGAGGGTAATAACTTGAGACAACTCTCTCTCTCTGTACTTGAACCTGTCTGGCCGCTCCGAGCCGCTGCCTCTGCCATACCCGCTGCGCGGGAGGAGTTGCGAATAAAGGGGAGCGGGGAAGTCGACGGACTGCCGGGGCGCATGCGAGCGGCGGCAGCGCGAGGAAGGAAGAGGGAGGAGCACACGAGAGGCCGCAGGTCCTGAACTGCGCGAGGGAAATGAAGAACGTCATGATGGCGGCAGAGCATCTCTGGGAAGAGGGAGGGGGGTAACCGAGGGGGGGACCCGTAATTGAATTTTGATGGGTGCATTATGCTGCACTGTCACACGCTCCGGCTCCGGGCGGACCGTTAAATGGCTCGTGCGACAAATTACACAAAACGAGGCGGGCGGCCGTCATAGCCCTGTGTGTATGTGTTGGTGTGTGTCCGTGTGATCAGGAGTATCGTCACAACGGGTACGTTCCTCCTCGTCTCTGCTGTGCCACTCTTTCGCAAAATGTATACATTTTACTATAGTAATGGAAGAAAGAAAACGGGAGAAAAGGCGGCGGCGTTGTTTAACTCGGGCTCGGGGGTGCGTCTTTTTGTTTTCTCTGAATACTCCCCAACCCCCAGACTACAGTAATAATTACAGCGTGCGACGTGGCATTACAAACTCATTTGACCGTAAAAGTGTTCTGAATGAGTCGTTTCTCGTTTTGTGATTTGGCGGCTCTGCGGCGGCGGTGGAGTTTTCGCTAAATGCCGCTCGTTGCCCCTCCCCCGCGGAGGCCATTCACATTTCTGACGAGGCCGCGCCGCCCCGGCCAGCCGCAGCGAGTTAAATGGAGTGATCGCTCGGAAATGATTGGGGGGAAGGGAGGCGGTCCTAGAACTCGAGCCGCCCTGGATGAACCGCGCGGGCAGCAGTCGACTGATCTCGCGGCTCGCGGCCATAAGTAAAGGTCCGGAAGATGTTTACACTACATTTGATGGAGCACTTTGGAACAACGATTGCTCCAGGAAATTAGCCAAGTAGTGTGTAAATCATGTAGCACTAAGTAACCCCGAATGTATGCGCTACTCTCACTCGCCGAGTGCCTTCCTATGTGAAGGTGCAGGAGATACCGAAATACTTTGACAAACTTGGGTACGAACGCAAAGTCTGGCGCGGTCTGGCGAATATGTCATATGAAGCACTTTTTTACGTTTCTTTCTACGAACAGTGTAACTTGTCTCTCTCTCTCTCTCACACACACACACACACACACACACACACTCCGATGCACCTTCCCTCCAGCCCCCTACACACGCCCCGCGGCGGCAAAGCAGAAAGACTGGATGACTCGGCAGGGAGGGGGAGGCAACAAATTAGCCGTATGAAGAGGCGCTGTCGTACGCGAGGGGAAGACGAAGGTAATGAAAACGTGCAGGGAGTCGGGGAACACGCAGGGGAGCTTCACCCTACATCCCGCCTCCACCCCGCCCCGCCCCGCCCCGCCCCGGCCCGCTCCGCCCCGCCACGTTCGTCGGGACGTCCGGCCGGTCCGCTGCACCGCGCCCCTTCCAATATAGGGGTGGGCTGACGCCGGACGGCAGAAAAACTTTCCCTTCTCAATAACATATATGATCAGGTTTTCATGAAACGTCTTTTATAGAAGTGTGCAAAGGGGATATGCGGGGGGAACCAACGGGAGTAAAGTCTTGGGGGGAAAACTTTTATACGCTGGCTGCGGTCGATTCTCGAACATTTCGTAATTAATTCTGTATTTGGAGCTTACCCATTTATTTCCAACCGTAAAATATGAGTGACATTTATTCCGTATAAATTGGGTATGTGATCAGTGGGGAAATGTGTTTTTCCCACACATTTTCAAAAAAGGAAGTAGGGAAAACTAATCAAAAGTTCCGATTGTGAATAAGTAATAAAGTTACTTTTACATTAATTTGCATAACGAAGTGTCATTATGGCTTTTCTTAAGTTTTTCATGGACCTCGATAAAAACTCACTGGGTCTGTGCCGCATCGTGATCGAGGACGTACCTTGCGCGCCTCACTGCGCTCCTGCAGACCGCAGCACACAGACATGCACGCACACACGCATACATGAACGCACACTTCCATGCACACGCACACTCATGTACGCCTTCTCACACCCGCGCGCACAGCTGGAAGCGTAAATTGTCCCCCCTGCCCAGCGTCGTAACAGGTGGCAATGGCAGCTCGGTCGGTGTAAACATGCAAGGTCCCAACACGCTGCGCGCCTCACTCGCTCCACTTCTCTC